CTGAGAAGACGTATCTCTATGGATTACTGAACTGACCAAGAATATAAATATCAAAACAATCTTCAGAGCCATGAGGAACAAACTGAGTCAGCTCTTGAGTCTAATTCTCAAACCCATTCAAACTGTACACACCAATATACGATCAGTTGTCAAGGCTAGAACAGGGAGCGGACTGACTACCTGCCAGTCTGTTGACCCGTCGTCAGGTTGGATCACCTGACCCAAACGTCAGTCAGCCGGACATAAACAATAGAACAATTCACCGGATGGTTCCGAGACTTATGCTCTATATACATAAAACCTACCTAACAAGAACAATAATAATAATAATAATAAAATAGGGATAATACCATGGTATTTTTTATATATTTTAACAGATAATAATATGACGCCGAAAGTCTCTATTCTAGCTATAAACGGGGACTTTCGCGCTATAATAAGTGATGATCATTTTTTTTTTTTTCAACAAGTCGGCCATCTCCCACCGAGGCAGGGTGACCCAAAAAAGAAAATACTTTCATCATCATTCAACACTTTCACCACACTCGCACATTATCACTGTTTTTGCAGAGGTGCTCAGAATACAACAGTCTAGAAGCATACACATATAAAGATACACAACATATCCCTCCAAACTGCCAATATCCCAAACCCCTCCTTTAAAGTGCAGACATTGTACTTCCCATTTCCAGGACTCAAGTCCAACTATATGAAAATAACCGGTTTCCCTGAATCCCTTCACTAAATATTACCCTGCTCACACTCCAACAGATCATCAGGTCCCAAGTACCATTCGTCTCCATTCACTCCTATCTAACACGCTCATGCACACTTGCTGGAAGTCCAAGCCCCTTGCCCACAAAACCTCCTTTACCCCCTCTCTCCAACCCTCTCGAGGACGACCCCTACCCCGCCTTCCTTCCCCTATAGATTTATATGCTTTCCATGTCATTCTACTTTGATCCATTCTCTCTAAATGACCAAACCACCTCAACAACCCCTCTTCTGCCCTCTGACTAATACTTTTATTAACTCCACACCTTTTCCTAATTTCCACACTCCGAATTTTCTGCATAATATTTACACCACACATTGCCCTTAAACAGGACATCTCCACTGCCTCCAACCGTCTCCTCGCTGCTGCATTTACCACCCAAGCTTCACACCCATATAAGAGTGTTGGTACTACTATATTTTCATACATTCCCTTCTTTGCCTCCATAGATAACGTTTTTTGACTCCACATATACCTCAACGCACCACTCACCTTTTTTCCCTCATCAATTCTATGATTAACCTCATCCTTCATAAATTCATCCGCCGACACATCAACTCCCAAGTATCTGAAAACATTCACTTCTTCCATACTCCTCCTCCCCAATTTGATATCCAATTTTTCTTTATCTAAATCATTTGACACCCTCATCACCTTACTCTTTTCTATGTTCACTTTCAACTTTCTACCTTTACACACATTCCCAAACTCATCCACTAACCTTTGCAATTTTTCTTTAGAATCTCCCATAAGCACAGTATCATCAGCAAAAAGTAACTGTGTCAATTCCCATTTTGAATTTGATTCCCCAAAATTTAATCCCACCCCTCTCCCAAACACCCTAGCATTTACTTCTTTTACAACCCCATCTATAAATATATTAAACAACCATGGTGACATTACACATCCCTGTCTAAGACCTACTTTTACCGGGAAGTAGTCTCCCTCTCTTCTACACACCCTAACCTGAGCCTCACTATCCTCATAAAAACTCTTTACAGCATTTAATAACTTACCACCTATTTCATATACTTGCAACATCTGCCACATTGCTCCTCTATCCACTCTATCATATGCCTTTTCTAAATCCATAAATGCAATAAAAACTTCCCTACCTTTATCTAAATACTGTTCACATATATGCTTCAATGTAAACACTTGATCTACACATCCCCTACCCACTCTGAAACCTCCTTGCTCATCCGCAATCCTACATTCTGTCTTACCTCTAATTCTTTCAATTATAACCCTACTGTACACTTTTCCTGGTATACTCAGTAAGCTTATTCCTCTACAATTTTTAGTCTTTTGTCCCCTTTCCCTTTATATAAAGGGACTATACATGCTCTCCACCAATCCATAGGTACCTTCCCCTCTTTCATACATTTATTAAACAAAAGTACCAACCACTCCAACACTATATCCCCCCCTGCTTTTAACATTTCTGTCATGATCCCATCAGTTCCAGCTGCTTTACCCCCTTTCATTTTATGTAATGCCTCATGTACCTCCCCCACACTTACATTCTGCTCTTCTTCACTCCTAAAAGATGGTATACCTCCATGACCAGTGCATGATCATATTCTCTTATAATAGTTAAATAACACAGGATGACCAATTTCCAAGATATAATAATGGAGTTACGGGATGCTGACATTGAAGAAATGCTGAACACTGACAATGATGCATCTGCTGTGCATTCTTTAAGTGATGGTGAAATTAGATGAATTGTGATATATAAATAAGCCGTAGAGTTGATATTAGTATCATATTGAAGTACGTATCTTGTCGTGCCTCCTAAGAGCAGGAATTCTGCTGGAACGGATTAATGCCAATTCAGTTAATTTAAATGAGGAAAATTGACTCAGCATACGAACAAATCGGGATACGAATGAGGTCATGAAACGGATTAAATTCGTAAGCTGAGGTTCCACTGTACAGTAATGAAGTTGAATAACGTTAAGTTCAGCCAGCCAGCCATTTTACCGCCTGCAAAGTGGAATGAGTTGCAAACGTTTGTTGAAAAGTATCACCCTGACCAAGCTGAAACAAGCCATATCTGCAACACGTTCAGTGACAAAACCTTGTACCACTTCAGGGAAATCTAAAAGAGACACCAGAAACAGAGCACTCTTGACAGTTATTTTGTGAGACAGGGGTCGTTACTCAAGCTGGTCCTAGTGGCCTTAAAAGACAAAGAAGGGAAGTAACCCCAGATAAGGACTTGTTATCTAACGTTTTTATGGAAGGGGATTCCCCTTCCAAACAATAAGTTCTCCCTCTTCCGTCCTCCCTATCTTCCAGATGCCAGCAAGTCTCTTCAATAAGGTAAGTAAATGATATTTTAAATGTTTATTTAAATTTTAATTTATCTATATAATATACGTATGTGTATTTATCTGTGCTGTGTGTATGTAAAGCTATAGTCATTATTTAAAAAATGTATTTTTTGTGAGTATTTTTGTGGGTCTGGAATGGATTAATTTTATTTACATTATTTCTTATGGGAAATATTGCTTCACCTTTCAGCCATTTTGCATTTAGGCCTAGCTCCTGGAACGGATTACAGCTGAAACCTGGGGTTTCACTGTACTTCCCTGGGAGGTTGCTGTCTACCAACTTACTACCTACATCTTATTCAGATATGGGAACATAAACAGAAAAACACATGATATTTTTTATTTTACCTTATGGTTCCAGACTTGCAGGGGACACTCTTGGTGGAACTATCTGCCAAGTATTCATTGGGGTAGCTTTAAAATTAGGTTCAACAAATCTGTGAATGAGAAAGGTTGGATTTGAGTAAGACTTGCCTAGCATGAGTCAGTAGACTTACTGCAGTGCTGCTCCAGTCAAATATTATGTTTTATAAAAGAGAGAGATTGTATAATCAAATTCACGTAAAACGCAAAAATATGCCAACAAATAAATTCAGAGGAAGATACCATTGAACTTCAAAATTATTTGGACAAACTAATGTTGTGGTTGGAAAAACAGCAGATGCACTTAGGTTAGGTTCGTCAAGAAACAGGACAAGTGTTTCCTGATACGGGTCTTAGTCAGATGATGACCTGCCGTTGGAGCTTCTGGTCAACTGACTGAAGCCTTCTGCTGGCTTACTGGTCCACCTCTTCAAAAATTATAGTCATAGTTATAACCATTTGTAGTTCAGTTGCAGTTCAGTGTGGGGAAAAATACTATCCTCAGTAATAAAAATATCCTTGGAGCTTACATTACTAAGTAATTTAGAACTTGATAATACAGGATGTGAAAAGGACTTAGTGGCCATGGAAAACAGAAATCTGAAGCCAAGACATCAGTGCCAAAGCATCCTTAATAAGGCTCGCTGATTGTTTGGATTTATATCAAGAGGTGTAAGCAACAGGAGTCCAGAGGTTATTCTACAGCTCCATACCCTATTAGTGAGGCTTCATTTAGATTATGCAGTGCAGTTCTGATATTCCTACTGCAGAATGGATGTTTTTTATTAACACATTGGCCATTTCCCACGAAGGCAGGGTGGCTCAAAAAAGAAAAACTTCCATCATCATTCACTCTGTCACTGTCTTGCCAGAGATATGCTTACACTACAGTTATAAAACTGCAACATTAACACCCCTCCTTCAGAGTGCCGGCACTGTATTTCCCAACTCCAGGAATCAAGTCTGGCCTGCCAGGTATACAGTAAATACAATGGAGTATACACAGAGAAGGACAACAAAAGCAATTCACTGTATTAGAAATCTTTCACACAAAGGTAAGCTGAGAGCCCTGAATCTGCACATCCTTGAAAGGTGTTTAATGAGGGGAGATATGACTGAAGTGTTCACATGAAAGACAGGTATATATAAGATACAAACACGGCACTTAGGATAGCGAAAAGAGAACTTGTAACTACGGATTTAAGTTGAATAAATTGATATTTGGAAAGATATAGGGAAGTACTTGTTTTGCAATAGAGTTGTAGACAAGTGGAACAATCTAGCGAGTAGTCACCGAAGCTAACACCTTGGGTAGTTTTAAAAATGGATTTACCAAATATGTGAGTGAGAAAGACTGAGTTCAAGATGGACCTGCCTGGTATGGGCCAGTAGGCCTGTTGCACTGCTCCTCTATTCTTATGTTCCCTTATCAAACTTTACACATTTTGATCATAATATGCTTTTGTTTAATGTATATTTTATGGATTTTGTTAAGTAAGGTTAATATTTTTTTATGTGACCAGGAACGTCAGAGTGATATGTCTGCTAGTGAAGATGAGCTTCTAAAACTCCGGGAAGCCTTGGAAGATGAAATGTCCAAGCTGAAAGCCGATTCTACCTCACTGGCAAATTTACGAAGTGAGCACTCCAGACTCAAGGTACATTGTTTTCTGTCATGTGTTTATATACCTTTTTATCCTCTTTTAAGTTACTTGGATAATATTTGATGCTAATCCATATTGTATATTTCTAATTATAAGTATTTAATAATAATAATGATAATAATGCTTTGAGCTCCTTTATTAATATATTTTCTTTGTAGAGGCAGTCTTGTGCCTGGAATTTCAAAGTTTATCATTTATAACTCATGAAATAGTAATGACACAGTTGTAAGCAACTCGCTGAATAAATGGTTGGAAACCATAGCAAGCCAGTCTTAAATCTAGGCCAGTGCACACCGGCCTGCTGGCTTGCTATGAGTTTGAACCCTCCATTTGGTGAGCTAGTTAATTTTTTTTGTTACCCGAGGGTTCTGAATGTATGCATGTATATGCGTGTGTGTACGCACACACTCTCGCCTGATTGTGGTAAAGAAAAAAAAAATGAATAGTGGTAGTACAGGTCTTCCTCAACATTCGCAAGGGTTAGGGGATCAAGAGACTTGCGAAGGTTGAAAAATCGCGAATGTTTGGTGCCCCAATACGTATATTGTAGGGAAATATAATACAATACTGCTTCCTTAACTTGTTGAACCATGAACATTCATAAAATACATGAAAATGTCATAAATTGTACTAAATAAATACATGTTATGCTTTAATAACATGTATGTTATTAAATACCACAGACTCCACCACTGCCTCCACCAATGCCTCCACCACTTCCTCAACCACTGCGAGTCCCTACTACCCTCCCTCTGACCCCCACAACTGGCAGCCAGCCCTCCCACCACTCAGTGTGGTGAGTGTTTTGTTTATTCATTATTTGCTATTAAACTACAGTATAAATAATGTAAACTCATTCATGACTGCATATTGGAATGGCTATTCGGACAGGTATTAGACAGTGACATCGTGTGTTTACTCTTGAGCACAGCAAAGAGTCAAACATTTCTGCTACTGCTAATAATAACAATAGTAATAATAATAATAATAATAATAAATACGATATAATTGAAGAAGGAAATTGTACAAAAATACGAGGGAGTGGTTGACACATCGTCAGTGTGGCTTTATTTATGCTGGAGTGAGCATTAGTCTCCCTGCTCTTCCAAACATTTCACAACAATTCAGCAGTTGAGGCAGTGGTATTTAATGACATATATGTTATATATAATAATAGTACATGTTATTATTAATAAAATGTATTATTATTATTATTAATAACATGTGTGTTATTAAATACCACTGCCTCAACCACTGCCTCAACAGCTGCCTCAACCATTGCCTCAACAGCTGCCTCAACCACTGCCTCAACCACTGCCTCTACCACTCCAGTCGCACTCAATCTACAAGCACCAAACACAATGAATTATTGTGAAATGTTTGGAAAAGCAGGGAGACTCATGTTCACTCCAGCATAAACAAAGCCACACTGACGATGTGTCAACCACTCCCTCGTATTTTTGTACAATTTCCTTCTTCAATTATATCGTATTTATTATTATTATTATTATTATTATTATTACTATTGTTATTATTAGCAGTAGCAGAAATGTTTGATTCTTTGCTGTGTTCAAGAGTAAACACACGATGTCACCGTCTAATACCTGTCCGAATAGCCATTCCAATATGCAGTCATGAATGGGTTTACATTATTTATACTGTAGTTTAATAGCAAATAATGAATAAACAAAACACTCACCACACTGAGTGGTGGGAGAGCTGGCTGCCAGTTGTGGAGGTCGGAGGGAGGGTAGTAGGGACTCGCAGGTGGCGGGAAACTTAAATATGATTTGGCGGCTGGGAATTTGGTGGCTGGGAATTCGCGAATGTGTGAAGCCCGCGAAAGTTGAAAACGCGAATGTTGAGGGAGACCTGTATATGCTATCTTAGACTGGAGCTTAATGTCATTCCAATAACTAATCTTTGAAATGAACTAATATTTATAAATGCTTCAACTCTTTATTTTAGGATGATTTCCGGAGCCTATTTTCTGCAAATGAGAAACTACGAACAGAGTATAAGTCTCTACAGAGTGACTATAAGACTGTCAAAACAGAGAATAACACTGTGAAACTTAGGTTAACAGAACTTCGAGGAGAACTAAATGATGCTCGAGATCAGATGGCAGCTTTAGATGTTGAAGTTTCAAAACTCACCAATAAATGCCAGGTATGCTTAATGTACAAATCACTAGCATTTTGCAGAAATTTTATAATACCTCAGTACTGTATACTGCATTAATCTGTGAAAGATTACTACGTGCAGTTAACAGTAACAGCCTAGTTGATTAGGCCCTGATTCACCATAAGGCCTAGTCGTGGACTGGGCTGCAGGGGCATTGACCCCAAGAACCCTCTCCCGGTATTCTTTACGTAATGAAAAGTGGGAGCAAGTAATGAGGATAATGCTATTTAGTGAAGCTAAAGCATTACTGAGAAAAGGAAAATTTATTAGAAGTCATGTTTTTTAGAAAAAATAATTGTCTAAGTGATTTTATAAATTATTACTTGGTAAGGTACTGAGATATCCACTATATGTATATAGTGGATATCTCAGTATAAATTTACCATCTAGCAAATCCACTGTACGATAGCTAAAAAAAGAAGTGCAAATGCAATCTCTTCAGCCAATGCTTATTTGAAATATACATGATTAGTCCAAAATATATATAGTACAAGCTCAAGACTACACTTATAGTGGGTCTTTGTGCAATGAGAGATGGTGTAACAGATAATTGCAGTTGGATAAAAAACATTATGGTAAAATACAGATTAAAATATCAAGTAGTGTCAGTGTCATAGATTTAAAATTGGCAATGCAAATATTAAAATATTTAGTACCAGTAATAAAAATGCTGTAGATTTAAATATTAGGTAATGTAAGGTAAATGATAAGGGAAAGTGAGATGAGAAGAGCTGCAATATTAGAAGGGCTGGATGATATTGAGAAACTTGAGAATTAAGATCATCTTCATGAAGATTAATGCAAAGTTTGAGCAATCAGATGCTAATAAATAATACACTACTTTTGAAGTAATGTGTCGTAAGAGGTGACTAAAATGCTGGGAGCAAGGGGCTAGTAACCCCTTCTACTGCATATATTACTAAATTTAAAAGGAGAAACTTTCATTTTCCTTTTGAGCCACCCTGCCTTGGTGGGATAAGACCAGTTTGTTAAAAGTAGTAGTAGTAGTCCAAAGAAATGTCTGCATTCTATACAACTGAATAAAAAATAAATATCAATGCTTTCTTAATACAGTGGATCCTCGGTTTTCGCGTTTAATCCATTCCAGAGTGATCGGCGAAAACGGAAATCGGCGAAAACAGAAACCATTTTCCCCATAAGAAACAATGTAAATCCAATTAATCCATTCCAGATACCCAGAAGTATTAACAAAAAAAATTTTTTTTTTACCTTAAAGACAAAAGAATGAACATTTAGCATGGCACTTACTTTTATTGAAGGCTGTTGTTGATGGATGGAAGACAGGGAGGAGGGAAGAAGGAAGAGAGGTTATTGTTTGGAAGGGAAATCTCCCTCCATAAGGACTCTAGGTACCAAGTCCTTATCAAGGGTCACTTCCCTAGCTTAAATATAGATTTACATGCAGAAAAGAATGACAAATAAATATAAAGCACTAATAAAATGTATAAATGAACATTTAACATCATGCTTACCTTTATTGAAGACTCTTGTTGGTGTATGGCAGAGGGGAGAGGGAGGCTAGTTATTGTTGGAGAATATGGCACTAATATCAACTCTACGGCTTATTTAACTATCACAATTCAAATAATATGACATAATAAACAATGTTAATAACATAGAAATAGGACATCTTTCTTTCAACACACCGGCCGTATCCCACCGAGGCGGGGTGGCCCAAAAGGAAAAACGAAAGTTTCTCCTTTTACATTTAGTAATATATACAGGAGAAGGGGTTACTAGCTCCTTGCTCCCGGCATTTTAGTCGCCTCTTACAACACGCATGGCTTACGGAGGAAGAATTCTGTTCCACTTCCCCATGGAGAAGAAATATGACATATACTCTAGAATTAATAAAATAAGTCATTATGTATGTCATGAGAGGTATTCTGTTGTTGTTGTTGGGTGTATAAGGGCCACTGAGAGCATAAGCTGTACATAGTAGTAGTGAAGGCAGCAGCTGAGGTGGTGGTGTTTTCTGTAGCCCTGTATAACTCCAACAACATTGGAGGAATTAGTAGAAACACTGAAGAAGGCACCCTCTACCACTATTATTACCACCCTCTACCACCACCACTTTCGTATTTTTCTACACACTTAATCTTGAATTCTATCACATTTCTCAGATTCTTTACCAAAGGGCAGGCACTAGAAGCTTTCTTTGGGCCACTGGTGGCTTATTTAGCAGTCACACACAATAAACAAGTGCTACAAACAATGGATTTACAAAATGTTTCATATGACCTCGAAGGATATGTTCACTCACCAAGAAACAACACGACACTGCCTGAGAATGTGTGCGGGAGTTGGCTTTGTGTGTGCTCTGGGCGGTGGACAGGTTCTGTACCATCGACAAAAACGGAACCAATATTTTGACGGAAAAAGTCGGCAAAAACGGAAATCAGGGATAACAGAGATCAACGAAAAGGGAGGGTCCACTGTATATACATTACAGTGGGGCCTCACTTATATGGCAGGTTAGGTTCCAGGTTACCGCTGGAAAGTGGACATTGCCGGAAAGCAGAACGCCATTTTTTTCCACTTATAAATGCATATAAATGCCAGATAACAAGTTTACACTAACATATATTAAGTTAGCAATAGAACTAGGCATTAAAAACAATAAAAAGTAAAATACACACATAGTACACTCATTACTTACCTTAAAATATTTGTAGTCTTAATGTAGGGTGAGAGGTGAGTACTATTTATAGCAAGAAGTTAGGTGTGGTAGGTATGGTAACCTCCTGGCCAACACACCCATATATAATATACTAGGACACTTAAAGTGCATATACAGTAGGGCCCCACTTATACAGCAGGTTAGGTTACAGGCTACTGCCGGAAAGCAGAGGACCATTTTTTCCACTTATAAATGCATGTAAATACCAGATAACAAGTTTACACTAACATATACTAAGTTAGCAATAGAACTAAGCATTAAAAACAACAAAAAAAGTAAAATACACACACAGTACACCCATTACTTACCTTAAAATAGTCTTAATGTAGGATGAGAGGTGAGCTTTATTTGTAGTAAGTCAGGTTTGGGAGGTATGGTAGCCAGCCAAGTGAGCCCACCCCACCCACATAAAATATATTTTATGACATTTAATTAAAGCTCCCCAGAGCGATAAAATACATATACTGTACATTCGTTAATTACCTTATAATATTTGTAGTCTTAATGTAGGGTGAATGGTAAGTTTTATTTGTATGAAATTAGATAGCCAGCCCTCCCTGCCCCACCCCACCCACACAATATGAACAAACCAGGCAAACGCATCTGGTTTTTGTTCATACACTTTTTGTATTATACCATAATACAAACACTTTATGTTGTGTAGAAGTTGTCTCCACATTGATGTAGTAGAATAAATAAAGAGAAACTTTCCCATTCTCATGTAATACCATTTTTAGAAAAAATGGCACTCTGAGTGAAGGCATACGGAAATGAGTCACTCTGACGTTTTTGGGGTTATCCTAGGTTCTCTATACATATGCTGCTATGTATGATAATCTCTGTAACTGTATACCTGAATAAACTTACTTACATACAAAAGGAATAATTGTCTAGTTACCCCCAGTAATATTATAGTTACACATTTTCTCTGATGTTGGACTACAAGTCACCTGGCTACCACATCTCATATTTAAGTTAATTTATTCTACTGTGGGGTGTATTAATCATGTTTATATGTTAAGCAGCATGTTTATTATATACAGTGGACCCTCGGTTAATGTCTGGATCGGATAATGCCTCGCTTTGGCATGAAAAAATTGGCTTGGATAACACCTAAAAACTTGGTTAGGAGCTTTCATCCTGAATGTGTCGGCATGGTGCCCTGAGCGGGCCCGGCCACTCACTCCGTGTACCAGCCAGTGTGCCATTGTTTACAAAGCCAGTGAGGACGATTCTGCATGTACATGCGATATATTTTGTTTTATTCCATTGTTTTTGGTGCTTGTAACTGCTAAATAAGCCACCATGGGCCCCAAGAAAGCTTCTAGTGCCAGCCCTATGGTAAAGAATGTGAGAAACACACATAATTTAAGAAAAAGTTTGTAGAAAAATACGACAGTGGTGGCGGTAGAGGTGGTGGGGGGGGGTGGTAGAGGGTGGTAGCAATTGTGATGGTGGTAGTGGTTGCGATGGTGGTATGGTATGATAAGGCATGGTGGGGCTGCCAGTTCTGTCAAAAAAGAGGCTGAAAAATATGTGCAGGACTTTAAGGGGTACATAGAGGCTGAAAAATTAAAACCCCACAAGTTTTCTAACTGTGACGAAACAGGCCTGTTTAGGAAGAAAATGCCAAACAGGACCTACATTACTCAGGAGGAAAAGGCACTCCCAGGACACAAGCCAGAAAAGGACTTGTTACCTAAAGTCTTTATGGAAGGGGATTCCCCTTCCAAACAATAGAACACCTTCATCCTCTGCCTTCCTCCCGTCTCATCACTCATCAACAAGTCCACAATAAAGGTAAGTGTGATGTTATTATTTTTTTATTCTTTATGTATCATTGTTTTCTGTGTAGGGAAATGTGTATTTCATGTAAAAAATTATTTTGTTTAATACTTTTGGGTATCTGGAACGGATTAATTGGATTTCCATTATTTCTTATGGGGAAAATTAATTCGGTTAAAGGCTAAATCGGTTAAAGGCTAGCTCTCTGGAACGGATTAAAGGTGGTAACCGAGGGTCCACCGTAATTTAAAAAAAAATATCATAGATGGATTAATGGAAATGTCTATATTAACACAGTATATGACATTTAATGTGCCCAAAGATTACGTATTATTATTAATATGGCGTCAAGAGTAGAGACTCTTAGTGATTTTAATGTGTACCTGCATGCCAGCACAGTGCATAAGCATATTTAGGTACAAGTACACATAAGTATAATTATCAGAGAACATATAAAATATGCAATAACTTTAAAACACTTGAAATTTTGGAAAGTTTC